GGCTAATCTTTAGTTTTTTCTTTGTCGGTAGCATAAACATTTTCTGTCGACAGACAACTGACATCCCTTGTGATGATGTTTTCCCTATGATTGAAGGCTTTATTTGCTAAATGCAACTTTTTGCTATCTTTCAGGGAAGTATGACGACTGAGTCACAGGAGGAGTACTATCCAGTGGCCGTACTCATTGAAGAACTGCGCAATGAGGATGTACAGTTTCGTCTGCACAGCATTCAAAAGCTTTCCACAATCGCCTTGGCCCTAGGAGAGGAAAAAACACGCACCCAGTTGATTCCTTTTCTCACAGACTCCATCTACGACGTAGACGAAGTCATGGTGGCCATTGCGGAACAGCTCGGCGACTTTGTGCGTTATGTTGGCGGAAAGGATCATGCTCCCGTCCTGATAGCTCCTCTGGAGAGCCTTGCCCTCGTAAGTTATTGTCTGTTACTTTATGCGCATTTCATCGCACAGCCACCCCGGCGTCACTGTTGCGCAAGCACTAGGCTACTAATCCGATAAACCGCCCAACGCGGGACTCGTTTTTAATTAATGCTTCGCACAGCTCCATTTTTAAGTAGTCGATTATCTATTAAGGGTTTTGTTCTTTCCTCGAGTTTAAACAAGTGTCTCATACGATAGATTGCATCAAGAGAAAGCTCTTTAGTCACCTCGTCTAGCAAATCTCCTTCCAGTTGTATGTAGGGTTGAAGAGTGACTTTCTGCACTTGTTCTATTTACAGCAAAACGCATTTGTAGTCGTAATTATATAGGTTTGCCAACTTACGGCTTGACGTGGTACTCATCCGGACTGAAGTTCAGACTGTAACCCTCTTCAGTGAGTGATCTGAGACTTTCCCGTACAAGACTGGTTCGAAGTGTAATAAGCAGAGTTAGGGCAGCCTACCCCCGTCTTCGTTATCTTAGATGCTAGCGGCAAAATGCACCATGTAAACGCTTACGCTTGTTAGCTTCTAGGTTCAATGTCTTTTGCTTGATGTCGTCCTATCTGAAAGAAAATACAAGACAGTTGAATACGAAATCCGCAGGTCAAAGAGACTAACTAAGCCGTTGGACGGAGGTTAACTTCGTTGTTTTACTGCTGGGTAATTATAGATCCTCGCACACGTTGGAAAAATGCTTCCAGGAGTAATTATTTGTCGTTCTACAACGCTTTTGTTGGTTAACTTGCCTTTCACCTATTTCCGTTCAAGTTGTTCTGTCGAATTGCTGTCGGTCAACAGACCGGCCACTGAAATCGTCCTGATCATCTGGACCAGTCCCTTCAACAAGAAAGATGCCTAACAGCCCAATTCCGCCATTTAATGAAGTTGTCTGTTTAGTGTTCTTGGCCAATGTCGACTGTCACTACTTTGCAAATGTTTGTAACACTTAAGTAAGGGTGCTCCCTCTGTTTTCACTAGTCAGTACAAGTACAGCGCTGACTGCTATATGTGCACGGGAGTTTTGTAGTCCAGACAGATTAAAATCGATGGCAAAGTACAGTAGGTTCTAGTGCACATCAGTCAGCATCACATTGGTTGGTATCATGTTTGAACAGGATTTATTTGCCACCTTTTCCGCCAACCTCTATATTTTAAACCGCTGTGTTTGGCTATGTTCTCTGCATAACGCCGGCCAGATTATCAAACCTTTCCGATGAGTGCATTCCCTTGCGCCTAAAGTGACCGAC